TTGGGGAGAAATAAGGTATGCTGGGTCCTGGTCCTGCCCTTTGGATCCAGGTGACTTGGCACAAGATGAGGTGACTCACCAGGCCACCTCAGCCTGCAACAAGGGCCCTCAGGATCTTCCACCTGGCCTTGCTGGGACTCGCCCTTGTGGAACGAGCATTGCCCCCTGATTTGGTCTCTGCCCCAGGAACAGAGGGACTGAATTACCAATGGGAGGGGCCGGGACTCTGGGTCGTTCACCCTACAGTTAGCAGCCACGGAAAAGCTGAGCCCCTCGCCGCGCTGAGCTCTGGGATAGGATCCGAAGGTGAACAAGCCACTCCCCGCTACCCCCAGCAGCTCCCAGTCAGGGGAGGGTGCGTGAGACCAGGAGACAGGGAACTGGAACAGGCATCACAGCAGCTGGGTCAGACTGAGGCAGGCACTCTGGAGCACAGAGGGGCACCCGACCCAGAATCCAGGAAGGGGCAGGTAAGTGTGGAAGTCTTCCTGGAGAAGCTGATGTCCATATCTAATCCCAACAGGTCTTAGGACTTACCCAGGAGAGAGGGAGGAAGGGTATCAGGGCAGAGGAACGGCATGGGCAAAGTGACTGGAGCCCAGGTGAGGGCTGGGGGTAAAAGAGGAGGCTGGAGAGAAAGGCGAGGGCCAGGGAGAGCAGCAGGGAGCCCCTGAGAGTTTAAAACAGGAGCCAAAGGGGTAAGATTTGAGTTTAGGATAAATCCTGCTGGTTGCAGTGACAGCCAGGTGGAAAGGAAGTCAGGGTTAGAGGCAGGGAGACCAGCTAAGGGGACTCGTTCGTTCATTCAGCAAATACGTGTGGGGCCCTCCCAGGCGCCAGGCCCTGTGCTGTTGCAGAGATCCAGGTGAGGACCAGAGTGGCCTGGACCAAGGTGATGGGGGCCAGGATGGATAGAAGGGGCAGAGATGCTACGGAGGGGCTCTCACTGTGTCACACAAACATCCTGGCAATCCGCAAATTGTCCTCTGGCTCCTGGACCAGTTGTGCATGAATCTGGAAATCGGGAACCCCACGGGCCCCACCCAGGGCCCTGCAGCCCGGCCTGCCTGTCCTTCCTCACGGCTCTCCCCTGGGCTCAAGAAAGTCTCAGATGCCATCGTGGCTGGCGATAACCTTGCCCGGCCCTTTCCAGTAAGGGGCGACACCCACACTTCCAGACACGTAGGAAGTCGGAGGCCGAGCTAGGGCGCTGGAGTTTCTCTGCGTTGCCCTCCCCTGCAGATCACAGACTCCTCCGGGGCAGGCACTGTTGGAGCTCTCTGAGAATGTCTTCCCTCTTGGACTGGAAACTTCCAGAGGGGAGAATGAGGAACAGGAATGCAAGTCAGGGAAGCTGTTTTGCTGCCGCTTAATTGTTTGAACTTGGGAAAAAATCCTATATTTGCTCTCATTTGTAGAATGGGATTAATAATAACGTCTGTTATGAGGATTGAAAGACATAAAGATTAAAGAGACACTAACAGGGTCTTGAGGGACACGAACAGGGCCCGCACACCCGGCACAGACCATGGAAAATGGCTAGACATGACGGCAGAAACATGGAAAGACTGTCAGAGCCACGAATGCAGGGAGCTCGTCCTTGCACACGCGTGGCGTTCCAAGTCCCCAGAACAGAGCCTGGTACACAGCAGGCGCTCCCTAAGCACCGATGGAGCGAACGAATGGAGGGTGCAGGCGGTGCTAGCTCACCGCCAGGGCACGGAGGCTTCTGGAGGGCCGGGGCTGCAGGGCTGCGGGCACAGGGCCCACTGGAGCGGGAGCGTAGCCTCCACCTGAGGACCCCGGGGAGTCTGTAGGCCTCACTCACCCAGTTCTCTTTGACCTGGGTTATAAATCGATCAGGGGCTCCAGCAGAAGGATGTCCCTGCCACGGTCCTCTCCAGCGACTTCCCAACCACCTGGGGCCAGCTCACCTGCCTCCTCCACCCTCCACCCTCCAGTTCTCCAGCACTATGCTGGGACGCTCGCCGCGGCACCCCTCCTCTGCTCACGACCCCTCAGGAAAGTGGAACCTCCTGGGCCCACTCTTTGCTCCAGCTGCTGTCCCGCCTCCCCACCTTCCACCTTCCACTCAGAAAGCTCCTAAGCTCGCAGTGCCCCCAAGACCACAGCTCCCCCCGGCCTGCAGCCGGCTGTGTGCCGAGACAGGCGCCTTCTGAGCCCTCCGCTCAACCGTAGACGGACCTGGGCTGTGAGCGCTCGGAGCCGGGCTTGTCACAGGCCTTCGTGAGATGGCCAAGTGCTAAATAAAGGTTACAGCACCGTCACCTTGAGGCTGGAAGGGGCTGACCCGGAACCAGCTAAGCTGAGAGAGGAAGGGGGGAGGGGAGAGAACGGGAGTGGAGAAGGGGTGTGTCAGCAGGGAGCGAGGGTGGCATCAGGTGGCACAGAGCTGCTTGGTAAATATGCACGAGCCTTTGCAGGCACATCCACGCCCTCACGAAAACTGTGGTTCACTCCGGAAATCACAGAACTTTTCTCCCCAGTGGACTCAAAAATCAGCCCATGTGGGCAGGAGGCCCTGCGACCCTACAGAAGGGGCCGGTCCCCGAAGAGCGGCAGCCCGACGGAGCCCGCCTCAGACAGCTGCGGGCACTCTGCCGGGCTCCGCGCTGCGCCCGCCCCGGAGCTCAGGCCTGGCTTCTCGCAGTCTCTGGTCCGCCGACCTGCAGACAGGAGCCCTTTCCGGAGCTGTGGGGTGCACAGACCGCAGGCCGTCTTGCTCCTCGCCACAGTGGCTGGGGGACAGACCCAGGCACTGCGCTGCCCGGCTTTGAATCCAGACTCCCCGTTTTCGCTGAGATTTCACACGAGACCTGTTTCCTCGTCTATAAAACAGAGACGGGACGCCCGCCTCGCCGGGCTGCCGCAGGGTCAGACGGGCTCACTCACGTGTCGGCGAGTGTGGCACACGGGGGACACGGGCTTGCCGTCATCACCCCTACCTCCCTCCTCACTCCTCTCAGTCCTTCCTGAGGCCAGGACTCTTCCGTGCTGTTCTTCCCCGTCCTTCCTCCTAAGAGGCTGCCCCTCTCCACCTTCCCGGTCCAGACCACCCCCATCCCCTTCCGTCACCTGCCCTGAGTCCTCCCTGCCCCCTGTGGTTGGTCCCAGAGTCCCCCGTTGCTCAGGGGCTGCAAACCAGCTGCCTTCGCCCTGCCACCCCCAACAGCACGCACCAAGCCGGCCTGTTCACCTGACGTTTTATTGTAAAAATGTTAAAATAAATTACATTTGACATCATTGCCAGTATGTACATACAGTGTGTGCCATTCCAGGACAGCCAACAAGACAAGCTCATTAAAACGTTTCACAGAAAATACGAGGTCGCTCCCCTTCCCGGCCCCCTGCGGGGTGGCACCCTCTGCAATGGTTAGTGGGCGGGCAGGGTGGGGACACACGCCCTTCACGGTCTTCGCACGTCGGGGGGAGGCTGGCCCCAGCTGCCCCCACAGCAGAGGGGCAGCCCGCACAGCGTGAGGGAGGGGCCGCGAGGCTGTGGTCACCTGCCCCCGCCCAGCATCCAGCCGCCTGCGACAGATCCCCTCAGCTCGCGTAGCCACCAGCGTCCCTCCCCAGCTCTGCACGGGGACGTGATGTCACAGCCTTGGCTTAGGTCACCAGGGCAGGGCCACAGGGTGGACACTGGACATCCCAGTCCTCGGGACCCTGCGCTTTGACCACTGGCTCTGAAGCCTACAACAGATTCCAGGTATATAAAAACAGCAGTTCATTCAAAAAAACAACGAAAACATTCAGGACAGGGTGGGCATCGCGGAGACCCCAGGGACTTCGGCAGCAGCGAGTTTGCCCACCCCTCACTAGAAACAGTCCGTGTCCAGCTTCACAGTGTCTTTTGCTCTCCAGCCCAAACCCTTTCCTTTCTCACACACACATGCATGCACACATGCACACGCACGCACATGCATGCACACACATGCAGGCACATGCATACGCACACGCATATGCACGCACATGCAGGCACATGCACACACGCGCACACACATGCACACACACGCACGCATGCACACACACGCACGCATGCACACACCCACAATAAACAGCAGCTGGAGAGAGGAGCTTGATTCGTGTATTTGGCCACTGCCCATGTGTGAGCCGCGAGCAATTTGGCCTCACCCCACCTGGCCCATGGGGGCTGATGGCAAGGGGAGGGGACAGTGAGGTCCTTGTTCTGGGCACACAGAAGGAGACGGCAGGATGGGGAGGGAGGGTCCTCAGACCAGGAGGTGGGTGTGCACTTCTGTAAGGACTGGAAAGTGAGGGCAGAGTTGCCAGCGCTGGGCCTGCAGCTCCCTGCCCCCCAGCCCAGCTTCCAGCGGCCATGCCCTGCCACCCTCCCTTCCTTCCACCACCCGGGGGCAGTGGGCAGAAAGCCTTGCATCTGCCACTGCTTGGCCTGGGACAGGGAGCAGGGCTCTGGGCCGGGCAGCCACGAGCGGGACTGAGACCTGGGCCCACACTGGACTTGGTCCAGGTCCTTCGAATCCAGACCGTTTCGGCCTCTGCCCATCATCTCCGCTCTCCTTCCCCGAGCAGCCTCTGCTCTACTGCCCTTGGCAGGAGGGGAGACGGGCCCTGCTGCTGCTGAGGTACCGAAACGCCAGCGCCCACGTCACATCCGCGCCTCCCCAAACACGTCAGAGCTCGAAAAGGCAGAACTGGGTCTTACACACCCACCGCCCTCTTGGAAACATCTAGCTCAGTGCTAGGCCCGCAGAAGTCGCTCAGTAATACTGGTGAACTCAAATAGCGGAGGCCTTGGCCTCAGAGAACCGTGACACTCAACCAAGTAACGGGGCGAAGACCCAGGCAGGCACGGGCCTCCTGGGGTCATCCCGCCCGCCTGTCCTGCCAGCCCGCAGATCTGAGACTCACCACATACACCAGCCAAGCTCAGGACAGACGCCCCCACAGCCAGGGTACCGTTCAGCGGGAGGACAGAGGCCCCGTCCCGGGCAGGTGCCACTGCCATCGGTAGCACTAGCTGGAGGGGATGGAAGGTAAAAAGGCCCCTGGCCCCCCACTCCCAGTTCCAGGGCTGCCCCCACCAGGGGCCAGGGGTCCCAGCCATGACGGGACACCCCGGGTGAGGGGAAAGACGCCGTCGAAGGTGGGGTGGGGAGCCGGCCCTGCCTCATGTGCCTTCGGGGCTGGCGGCCGCACTGCACTCGTTCCTCAGCTGCTCGTACGGCACGGAGAGCTCGGACTCGGTGCTGGTGAAGGTGGACTCGTCCGAGGAGGGGAACTCGCCCACGCTCAGGGGCGCCTCGGCTTCCGCCCGCTGCGGGGGCCTCTCCTCCTCCGCCAGGTTGTCCTCCAGCGAGGACTTGGAGGTCTCCTCATCCGAGAGGCCGGCCTCCTGGTTCACAAAGGTGATGCCGGCGTCCTGGAAGATGAGCGGGTGGTAGTCCTGGGCGTCCCACGGCTCGCCCTCCTCACTGATGCGGTCCAGCTGGCCACTGAGCACCTCGGAGGCAGAGGAGCCGTCTGCGGGGACCCGCGTCCCGGCCTCCTCGCTGGGGGGCTTCGACACGTGGCCTTTGCTCCTCAGTGTCTGTGACACCTCTTCCAAGCTGGGCACCCGGTTCTTGGAGTAGACCACCAGGGGCGCCAAGGAAGGGGGCAGGGCTGGCAGCCTGCCACCCTGAGTCCCCGGGCCCGGGCCCCTCTCCCCACCCCCACTCGTCTTCATGGCCTTCTTCCCGATCTGCTTGATGAGGTCATTGTAGGTCTCCTCCTTCCTGGACAGAAAGCTGAAGATGTTGACGTCCTTGGAGGCCCCGCTCCCCGCCACCTGCAGGGCTGTCCTGGAGCGGGGGGAGCTCTCGAAGGACTCCTTCCGCCGCCGCCGCCTCTTCTTAATGGCCTTGTGGACCTCCACAAACATGCTCACCTTCCAGTTGACAAAGAGGGACAGCCAGGCCAACCCCAGGTAGATCCAGAGCTCCACAAAGTAGCGGTACAGGGCGTGGTAGTTGGCGCTGGGGTTCACACCTACGAGGACAGAGGCCCAGAGGTCAGGAAGGGTCGGCAGGGACCCGGAAACGTGCCAAGAGCCACGCTGTGTTATCTGAGCAGGCGCCTGCCGGCCACGGGAGGGGGCCCGTTCCAGAGCCCGCGTCACCCGTCTTCCCCGAGGGCCCCTCCCAGCCACCGGCCTGGCTCTGAGCCTTTCTTCAACCATAAAAAATCAGGACAGTGACTTTTTGAGGGAAGTCCAAGGGGCTTTGGGAAACTGGTGATGCAACCAAGACACAGGTCACGAGTAGCTGCGCCGCAGCTCCTTATTCTGCCGTCCCCAGCTGTTCCGTGTGTACGTCACAGTGGGCTAAAAACTGAACAGGTGGAAATGACAGGAGGGGCCGCTGGCACCCTCACAGCTGGGGATGGGCGCGCTGTTAACATGCACGAGGCTGGCGGCCGGATCGCGGTGACCCAGGCGGCGCTGGCCCTGGCAGGAAGATCCTGAACCGTCTCTATCCCCCTGGAAGGTCTGGGCTGCCTCCCTGACTTCTCGTTTCTGTCTCCCTCGGACTTGGCTCTTCCCTTGGCCTGGAGGGCTCTGTCCATTTGCCCCCTTCCTGCGGCAGGGGGCCTTCCCGGTTACCCCTCACGGCGCTGACGGTTCGGCTACGCCCCAGGGTCATCTGAGATTTCTTTTATGACTTAGCATTTCCAGCCGTTCTGATCTGTCTCCCGTCTCCGCCCTCTGACTGGACAGGGGGCTGCCTCCCGCGTTAGGTTAGCGGGCCCCCAGGACAGGGGCGCCAGCGGAGGGGTGCTGTCAGTCCTGCCAAGGCCCCTGATCCCAGAGTCCGATGATGACGATGACGAGGGCACAGACTAACATAGCCAGGCCCTACCCTCAGTACTCATGCGTATTAACTGGTTTTGCACCATCCTATGTGGTGGGCGCTATTGTTTTTACCAATTTTACAGATGAGAAAACTGAGGCCAAGGTTGGGTGTCCTGCTGGAGCTGAGAAAGTACAGTTACATATTCTGCTGCGCTTCCCTGATACAAAAGCCTTCTCCCCAGCCTGCTCTGGGCCCCAAGGGCTACACGATGGCGATGGCACGGTTGTGCCTCCTCCCAAGACAGCAGGCCACGTTTGCCGGGGGCAGCAGAGTGTGCCTCTTTTGCCTGTTCCTCCCCCGAACAGATTCCCATACGCCTTCCCAGATTCCACATACAACAGGGCAAAAGGCTGGCAACCTCCCCCTGCCCTCTGGGGAGGGGGAGGGGTAGAGAACAGAGGCCCCTGGAGCAGAGGCTGAGGTCAACAGGGCCAAAGAGGGTGTCAAGAAGATTAAGAACCCAGATGTAGCCCAGGCCACAGGCACAAGTATGTGAGTGGCGGGGGCCAGCTGGTCGCAGGCCTTCAGACAAAGAGGCCAAAGAATCTTATCGCCTCCCTGGATTAGGAGGGAAGGAGGAGGAAGAGGCAGGGCTGAAGGGCAGGGCAGCGGGGGAGAAGGCCTCCCTTGCCTTTAAGCCGCCTGTGCCAAGAGCGAAGCTCCAGGACAGCTCCCCTCAAGGATGAAAGGCTGCTGGGACAGCGGGATGCGGAGGGGGCTTCCTGGGTGACAGGAACAAACCCCGTGGGCCAAAGGCCCCACTCCCAGCCCTCCAGGAACCCAAGCTCAGCAGTCAGGGGAAAACAGAGGAGATCAGAGCCTGAACAGAGAGAAAAGGAGAGGAAAAGCCATAGGTAACGAGAGAGAAAGGGAACGAGCAAGAAAAGAGTCTTCTGCAATCACTCTGTGCCTCAGTTTCCTCTTGCAACTGGCAGGGTGGGTTGAGAACCCCGCTGGGTGGGAGAAGTGCCCAGAACACGGGATGCCTTCCAGGGGCCGCCAACACGGGTGTGCTGCGCTGGAACTGGAGAAGCAGAGAGACAAGAGGGGAGGCAGAGGCAAAGACTCACCGGCCACGAAGTCACCGAAGCCGATGGTGGAGATGGTGATGAAGGAGTAGTACAGGCCCTCGATGTAGTCCCACTCCTCGGTCACCATGAACACGAGGGGCGGGATCACCAGGTGGACCAGGACGCCCCACACGATGAAGATGGCCGTGCATGTGATCTGCGCCTTCCGCTGACCGGGGGGCAGGAGGCAAGTCAGTCAACAGTGGAGACTTGAGGCCCCAGCGGTGGCACCCAGAGGGCCGGGGAGGCAGCTGGAGGGGCGGCCAGCTGGGCACCCGGCCTGGGAGGCTTCCCGCTGGGAAAGGACGAGGGAGGGGTGCTCCTAGCCTGACCCAGAGACCTCTGAAATTGCCCTCTTGCCACCTGTCCTAACACCCACGTCCAATTCTTGGAGACTTCCTGTCCTCCCCTCACCTGTCACGGGCCCCTATCTCTGCCCAGCACTGAAGGTTGGGGACATACCAGGCTCACGCCTCTCTTGGTGAGGAACTGGCCCAGCCTCTTGGCACGTCCCCCGAAGAACTTGCCCAGCGCGCTGATCCACGTCAGGCAGAGCGGCACCCCGAAGAGACCATAGAAGACGCAGAAGAGGCGACCGGCTGGGGTCTTGGGAGCCACGTTGCCATAGCCTGAGGAAGGAGAGAGTGGGGTTGGGAACAGCCGCAGCAGGAGGGGCGGACCCACACCGAGCCCAGGTCCACGGTACGTACACACCCCTGCCAAAACACACACACACCCCAGCACAAGGCCCGTCCTCTGCGATCAATTGATACCGACCTAATATCAGTACTTAAGCATCATTTCCCTTGATCACTCCCTGATCCTGATCATTTACAAAGCGATCATGGTGGTATGGCTACGTCTCCTCCATCAAACTGGGAGCAGGGACTACGCCTCCACCGTCCACAGGTCTCCCACGAATCCATGCAGCACTGCCGTGCAAACCACAAGAGGCCCCTCTCCGTGCAGACGCCCGGAGGTGCTGTGGTAGCCAGTCTCCAAAGACCATTCTCAATTCCCTTCCTTCTTATACAACCGTTGCCACCAAGGCAGAGTCCAATCTTCCTCCCTTTGACTCGGGCTTTGCCCACGGAAGCGGTCGAGGAGGCGGTGATGCTGGACAGGCGAGGTCCAAGACCCTGCGGCTTCTCCTGATTCCCTGGACGTGCTCCCTTCGGGGTTTCCCTCTTAGAGCCCGCTGCCGCACTGCGAGGTGCCCGCGCCACATGCGGAGGCCTTGTGCTTTCATTCCCAGCCGTGCTCCCAGCCGACAGCCGGCATCAGCTGACCAACCTGCGACGGAGGAGCCCTCAGGCCAGCTGGGCTTTCAGATGACTCCAACGCGGTCGTCGTGACTACCGACCGCCACACGGGACAGCCCAAGCAAGAAGAGGTGGCCGGCTGAGCCCAGTCAACCCCCAGAACGGTGAAAGGTAAGTTGTGTTTTAAGCCACCAACTTCTGGGCTGGCTGGCGATGCTGCCACAGAGAACCGGAATAGAAACCTACTGTGGTGAGCGAGCACGATGCGGGTCTGTGCAGGGAGCAGCCTGCTCAGTCTCCCGCAAGGCTCTGGGTATCTGCTGTGTCATCGTTTCTGCTCCGAGATCCTAGGTCAGGACTCACGGCAACAGCCTCCCAGGCAGAGCTAGTCACCAGGGACTTACTGAAGCCCCACGAAGTGTCCAAAGGACAGCCTGCAACTGGCTCGATTTCACCCCCGACAGAGCTGGGCTCCTACGATGTCCCGACGAGCTGGGCGTGGGACTGGGAATCCTGCTAAAGGCTCCAGGAGACTCACCAATGGTGGTGATGACGGTGGCTGCGAAAATCATCGCATTGGGCCAGTTCCAGTTGTTGAAGGTCTGGTTCCCTGTGATGGCCACACCCTGTCCTGCAGCATCAGAAACTACCTAAAAAGAGAGGGAGAGACAGACAGACAATAAAGCTCGGAGCTGAGGCCACACGGATGCTTCCTGAGTGACAGCACTGCATCAGACTCCTTGTTGGCACTCTCGTTTAATCATCACAGCAACCAGGTCGCAGTTATAAATGTCTTCATTTTATAGATGAAACATTTTTTAGAGGATCAGAGAGGTTTCACCCAAGGTCACAGAGCTGGTAAGGGTACGAACCCTGACAACCGGGCCCCAAAGTTCACTCTTTCCCTGAGCCAGGGCTTCGCAGACTTACTAGCACGCACAGTCACCTGGAGGCCTGTTAAACACAGACTGCTGGGCCCTGCCCCCGAGTTTCGGATTCCGCAGGTCTGGGAAGGGGCGTTTCTAGTAAGGTGATTGCTGACGCTACTGGTCCAGGGACCACATTTTGAGAACTGCTGCACTAGACTATTCTGCCTCTCAAAGAAGGCAGATGTGATGCAGACACACGGGAGGTCCCCTACGCCCCACTCAGCCCTCCAAGTTCAGAGCTGGCCTGGGAGGGGTCCCCCTACACCCTCCGGCCCACTGCAGGATACCTGCCTCTAGACCTGCCTCTGGGGGCATGCGGCGCGGTGGGGCCTCCAGCCTATGCTGAGGACTCCAACCCACCCCCTCCCACAACAGGCTCCCGCTTCCCTCTCTTCCCTGTATCCCTGTCTCACTGCCCTGGGCCCAGCAACTGTCTGAAAAAGGACAGATCAAAGGTGGTGAATACATTTCAGGGTGACTCAAAATTGTGCTGTCAGTCCCCACAGAGCTTCCAACAACTCTGTAGGTGAGCAGGTGAGAGGCCACCCGGGGACATCCTGGGGGGAGGCCTTATCTGCTCCAGCAAGACCTACAATGGCCAAACCTGTTTCCATCTACTTGTCTCTGACTCTGCCCCATCCTTCAGCTCTGCCCACCATTTACCCCAACCTACCAATGGGGCTTTATCAGCTAGCAGAGCCTGGAGCCCAAAAGCCCTGTAAGGAGGAGCTCTCAATCTGGGGTTTGAGTCCTGTCCCCAAGGAGGGCCCCAGGATGGGTCATCCAGACCAGAGCCTAGGCACTCGAATTCCCTACAAAAATCAAGACAAGGACTGAGGGAGAGGAGGCAGAGTGAGGAATGGAACAGGAGGGAGACCAAGAAACCTTATTTCTAACCCACTCAAGGCATGGCTGGGGTTCGGTGGGAACAGGGGGAAGGGTGGGTTGTTCTGAAGGAATGTGCAGTTCGCACAGGCAGCAGCGGGCCCTTGTGAACGGGTCTGCGTACTCGGTGAAAAATTTCCCACGACGACATGCTTGTCGGACAAACCGTCAGACCACACCGCCACTGCCCTGCGTCCTCCCGGCATTTCCAGAGCATCTCTGAGGCCGCGAAGTCTGCGCACGTGGAAAGGCGGGACTGTCACATCAGACTCTGCCTCGGAGAGCTACGGTCCAGCCGCGACAACCGGGACACTTAAACACTAACAGGCCGACGGGAGAGCTAACGTCAATACTGAGGACCGTCCGGCGGGTTTTTGGAAACATCAAATCTACGTCTGGAGCAAGAGAACGAGGACGTGCGGGGCCCTGCGTGCCGATGCTAAACAGACGGTGGAGAACCCAGAACCACTCAGCTCCCCCACGGCCCCACCTGTTATCTCAGACACAACCTGCAACTGGACAGCCAAAAACACACGGAAAACACACGAGGACCCCGTGCAAAGGGAACTGAATGGCTGACCAGAGATGACACCGCAGCACCACCTCTGGTGGAACCGTGGGGCACAGGAAAGATGTCGGAAGACAAGCTGTCCCTATTTTCACAAAAAGGAAAAGGGTGGATTCCAGAGACTTGGAAAACAAACCCGAACTCTTGCAAACTTCTGAATGGGGAGAGGAGAATGTCTGGAACACTCAGAAAAGGAAGTGGTGGGCACCAGAAGCTAACACAGATTCACGGAGACCCAGTCGTGCTTAGCTGAGTGCATCTCGTTTTCTGAAGTTGCTGCAAAGCCTTGAAGTTTTGTGGAATGCAATCAATCCAGATATCGGCAGGGCAGCTAACAGATGGGTTTAAAGATATTCATGTGGGCGACAGAGAGACGTGGGGGAAGGGGGATTGACTAGGTCCATGCGAAGGCAGACAAACCACCACAGCAAGTACTGATCATCCTCGACCACGGCTGAGGTCTCCATAATCACGCCTGGCCTCTTCGATATTTTAATCGGCAGCACCGTGACGACAGAGACGGCTGAGCACCCCAACGTGCAGAGGACGAGCATGCGCTGGGAAGACAGCCAACGCGCAGCAGTGGCAGTCCTGAGACTCAGAGGTCACCTGGACTAGAAACAGGGCCAGAGTTAACAAGTCGCAAGGGTCTCTTTAAATTTTCAGACCTTACACTTTGGATTGGAAAAGCCTAGCAAAGGATCAAAGAGGAGAGTCCTTGGGTTTTAGCTGAACACGAACCAACAAACACTAGGGCGGCTGCCAAAAGCAGGTGCGATCTCAGGCCATGTCAACTCCAGGCCTATCCAGGGCTGGGAGGTGATGAGCCCATCGTTCCCTGCAGGGTCAGGCCACAGGCGGGGCGCCTTGTTCCGCTCTGGGTGTTGGACAGTACATTAACCAAGGCCAAGGTCCAAGAAGGAATGGGGCTCGGTTTTACGGATAACAAGCTACCTCACAATGGGCTATCCTTTGCAGTAATCGATAATCAATTTCTGGTAATGAGAAGTATTTAGACCAGGGGTGACCACCACCCATCAGGGGTATTGCTGAAGGTATGACTGGAATAGGAGTTTCTCAACTGGGGGTGGCAGTGCCTTCTAGGAGTGTTTGGAGATGCTGGGACGGGTGCTGTGTGTGCCAGGCACCGTTCTAGGTGCTGGGGACACTGCCGTGAACGAACAGAACCCCTGCCTTCCCCATGTGCGCTGCTGGCTTTAAGTGGGCAGGCGCCGGAGACGCCGAAGGCCCCGCAGTTCCCAGGACAGCCCCTCCCACAATGCAACACTGCTCCCCCTGGGAAGCGCTACAAAGGTAACCTGTGCGCTACAAAGGTAACCTGTGCCCGGAGAATCATTTAGCAAGTGCTAAGGAGACGTCAAACAAAAGAGGGCATCAAGGTTGGGAGTGTGGTGAGCTGGAGAGCTAGGCTTCCTGCCGTTTACCCTTTGGGCCGCGGTGGCTCACTTTCCCGTGCTCTCCTTTATCTCTGTGTGGTCACCCAGCGGGTGGAGGCGTTCCCAAGGGCCCTTGCCCCCTGGGGCTGGGTGCACCGCCAATCCTCTCGAAGACCCAGTGTTAGCAATTATGCCCACTGGGCGGAGAGAGGTTACCTGGCAGAACTGGGCTAGGCTGCAGGCTGTCTGGTTTCAAGTCTCCAACTTCAAGCTTCCCTGCCCGCCCCAACTCTGCCTGCCCCCTGGGCTCCCCCAGTGCCCCTGCTCCCCCTGCCCATGGCTCCCCAGCAGCTGACCTGGCAGTCAGCTTGGTCCCACCCCAGTGCTGGGCGGAGAAGTGGTATTAGTGCGGCGGTATGTCAGACACCCCCTGCTGGGGCGTTTATACATATATTGCACCTGACTAGTTCTTCCTGTGATCACTTGGCAGGGGAGAAAACCGGGTCCAGATGTGAACTTGGGGTGCCAGCTCCCCATTCCTACCACGAGTAGCTGAGGCTCTGGTTGGGACACCCCACTGATCATGGCTGGGATCACGCAGGAGGAAGAGGAGGCCTTCACCGGTCCCCCATAACAGAAAAGCTGACCCGCGGCTGGGGCCATCCGTGGGTCAGGGGGAGCGGCAGGGAGAGCCAGGCAAACACCCTGTCAGACAGGGCGTCCCGTCCTCCGGGTTAGGGAAGCAGCTTTCGCGGGAGGAGGCGGCCCCTGTTCGCTAGCAGGACTCTTTAACTTGGCTCCCAAATCCACACAAGACAATATTGTCATTTTCCACACAAGCCTGGAGCGTGATGGTCAAGGAAAGCCTGTGCACGGGCCAGGCCCAGCTCGTTTGGGGACGGAATAGGGTTCCTATCTCTGTCACCCTCGTCACAAAGCAGCTGTGACTTACTGCAGGCTCACTACGTGCCCAGCCCTGCGCTCAGCATTTCATGTGCCTTTAGCTCGTTTAACGAGGACAGAATCCTGCTGGGAAGATACTATCATTTTTTCCGTTTTACGAATGAGGATTTGAGGCTTAGAGAGGTCGAGGGAGCCCGAGGCTGCAGTGCTACAGCAGTAAAGCCAGGACTAGCACCCATCTGGGTCCCAACTGCTGTGTCCTAGCCCCGTCCCCATAAAGGCCACAGGAAGAAGGCCTGTGCCACTCCACCCCTTCCACCAGCTGAAAAAACAGTGCCCTAAAACCAGTCCAGCCACTCCGGCCAGCCCTCCCATGCCCTTGCCCAGAGCTTGGGACAGCCAGCTGCCCTGACCCACCTTCCCGGGCACTCCCGGTCCCCGTAAGCGGGCTTCCCAGACACCCCCTCCTCCCTCAGGGACCCAAGGCTTCCCGCAGCAGCAGTCGCCGGGGGTCCCCTTTCTGGAGAAACTGGTCTTGCCGTGCGGGCACACCCGGGGCTTTGGGACACGCTGCCCACCTACGGACACGGCAGGCAGGGCTGAGTGGGGCCTTGCCCTTTACAGGCTGGGGGTCGCAGCTGCCTGGCCCCCACAGCTGCGCCTGGCCCTGCCTCCAGCTCCCCCGGCCGTCACCAGTCCGGGATCACAGAACTCTCTCCTGGGTGCGGAATGCAGCCTCAGCAATCGTCCTCGACTGCAGCCCCGCTGGACTCACAGGTCGTTGGGGGCTCATGAGGGGAACCTCCCTTACCATCCCTGGCCGCACCGGTCCATAATTCATTCCATTGACGCTCACTTGGCCCCTCTGGCCTGGACAGTATTAACAAAGTATCATTCCTCTCACGTGGCCCTGCTAGCCACCTCCTCTCCCCTCGCGAAGGGGTGGCCATCACTTACTCGTCCTCAGT